TTTCTGATTGCCTTGGCCGTGGCAGCAAGTGCGTTGAATGTCGAAGAGAACAGGCCCGGTAAGAGAAGCAGTAAGCACTTCATTTCTAATGTTGTCAACCAACTACACGAATACGATTACAAAACAACCGACCTAAAGCAATTTTAAGAGTCGTATTATACGCTTGTGCGGTCACCTATTGAAATGTGCCAACATGGCATTGATGTTTCGACATAATCCGACCACATTTGAAGAAAGTTTGCGCTGACAAAATGATACTTTCTATCCCTTTTTATCCTAGTTTTCGTGAGTTTTCGTGATAAATTTAGTTACTAGCCAAGTTTTGTTGGATTCGATTTGATTTGTTGATTTATTATTGTTTCGATCATTTTTCATTTTTTATTTTTGTATTGTTTTAGTCAAGGAAGATGAGATCGACATTTCTAATGCGTTGATTGTCGAGGAAAATGACAGACGGAGAGGTAAGCAATTCATTTCTAATGTTGTCAACCAACTAAACGAATACGATTACAAACAACCGATCTATAATTCCAAAAGTCGTATATAAATAATAGTGCGGTCACCTATTATTTAAAGAGATTTAAAGAGAGTTTGCACTTTTAGAAAGATACTTTCTATCACTTATTGGCCTTGCCGATGATATCGTGTGATAACTTACATTTATAAAAGTTATTGTCCTATAGCGGACTAATGAATATTAATAAGTCTGAATGAATCAGGAGAGCTTGGGTATTTGTTTCTAGTTCATCGTGACTGTGCCATGGACCAGTGATGGCCTGGTGGTAGAGTCGCTGCCCGGCAAGTAGTAGATGCAGTCCCGCTGGTTCCAAGAGTTTTTTGGCTTGTTATTCAATACAGATCGATCAATCGATCTTATTTACTGGGTGTAAGCCACAAATATGTTTAAATAAAAAACCGAGTTTTATTTGATACAATTTTATTGATTTATTATTCTTTTGATCATTTTTTTTCTTTTTTCTTTGTACTGCAGTTTGTAAAAACGTCGGTGGATTAACAGCGATACTACTAGGTTGTCAACTTGCTGGTAAGTCAAGCATGAGCAATATTTTTAAATCTAAAGAAAAATGCATTAGAGATAGAATGCTCCTTCTATGAATGATAAAAATCCACCTCTCCATTTTTCGATTCGACACCTTTATCACATATAGTCAGAAAAATGAGAAACAAACTTGAAAAGCCGGCATTGTTATTATAAGTGAGTGTGTTGTTTTAAAGACTTCAAAGGAGTACTCAATAATCATGACACGAGAATGCTTTTAAGTGTGCATAAATTCGATCGAACAGAGTTGCATAAAACATTAAAAAAATAACATTATAAAGGGCATGTTTATTTCCTCCAAGTCAGGCTCGAATAACCGTCGTTGTCATTTGATTGATGATTTAACATTAGGATGATTAAACAACTAAGCACGACATGGTATCTTCCTCTGTTTCAGGGTTGCCTTTTCGTATAGAGGGCACGGAGTCGTTTCTAATTACCTAAAGTTACTCATATTTGAGAGAATTGCCCAATCCGTATTTTTCCCATATGTATCTTCATAATTTTTAAAGGGTTGGGTAAAATTTTACTCATAAGATGGGAAGAAAGGAACCATGCATGTTTATTGGGTAAGAGTTTACCAACAATGGATAATGTTCAACCAAGTTTGGGTACATGTCATCAAAAAAACATGCATGTTCCCATTTTGACCTCTTATGTGCAAAATTGTACCCAACTCTACACTGCGTTAAGAGTGCACATATACACCTCTTCATTATCCCGCTAGCAGAATCACACCATATCACATAACACTACTGTTTCTGAAATACATTCGGTGCATGCACATTGTCAGGATACAGCAACCAAATACCTTAGAATTTGTTGTAATATATTTAACAAATCTTTACATTTTCTCTTTTCTTTATTTCAGATGCAGTGTAAGAGTAGCATTGAGAAGTTCGAGAAGCATACTAGCTGGATCTTTTCCATGCGGTCAGACGTCTTCTCTGTTTGTTGAGACTTTTGTCAACTTGATGCGAGAAAAAAAAAATCATCGGTGATCAGTCATCACTGACGTTAACATTAGCCCAATTAATTCATAATTTTGCCTCTAAAATATATAAATACAATTGAATCTCGTTTCAAATGTAAAGTATCAATATGCCTACATGTAGCCAATCAAGGGCGGATCCAGGGGGGCCCGGTTCCCCCCTGGAAAAAAACACGTGTAAAACACGTTAATTTCACCTTTTTTTCGGAGATGGACCCCCCCCCCCTGGCGCTCAAGTGCAAATTTTCAAATTTTCGAGGGCCAAAAAAAATATATGTGCTCACAACCCCCCCCCCCCCCCCCTCCCCCAATGAGCGGATTTTCGACCGGCGCGATTTTCAATTTTTTTGGGAGCAATAAGAAAACAAATTGGGCCCCACCCCTAAGAAATCCTCACTGGATCCGCGCCTGAGCCAAATATAGTTTTGTGTTGACAACTCACTGGAAATTTGATTGTTTATACTGCATTGAAGAGTACAATCTTGTACATGTGCTTCATGTGTAGATAAAACGTGCGAAGGAAACCATTGAGGGGTATACATTCATAAGTTGTATTGTCAAATTTTTAATCAGCTGCTTTATTCTCTGACACATTGTGCACAAAACTTTCTCATTAAATGGAATGACATAATAATAATCCTCCTCGGGTTAATTTACTTTTGTTCATGTTGTGAGAGGGGTAGAAGAGAGAGAGAGAGAAAGAGAGGAAAAAGAGAGAAAGAGAGAGGAGAAGAGATAGACAGGGAGCAGGCATATCAGAGAGGTAGAGAGATTGTAGAAAGCGTGTATCGAAGAGGATACAAGAGAGAGAGAGAGAGAGAGAGAGAGAGAGAGAGAGAGAGAGAGAAGAGGGGAGGGAGGAATAGCCATGGAACAGGCATATAAATAGAGAGAGAGAGAGAGAGAGAGTGAGAGAGAGAGATTGGAGCAAGTCTGTGTAGAGGATACGAGAGAGAGAGAGAGAGAGAGAGAGAGAGAGAGAGAGAGAGAAAAAAACCATACGGGCAGGGATACAATCAGTGATTACTATTCCAATCTAAGAAGCATTGGAACATTTAAATCACGTTGTGAAACTAAAATATAAACAAAATGTTACATGAAAGTACTATTTCTGCCACGATAATTACCCTTATTATTAAATATGCCGTTGCTGTCTTTCCCTTTTCATCTTCTAGTTCTTCTTATTTCACTTTCTTTTGTTTGTTGGTGACGGTGTATGGAGGAGGTGGTGGTGGTGGGGGGGGGGGGGGGGGCTGTTATCTCTCTCTCTCTCTTCCTTTAACAAAAATTGCTTCTTTAACTCATTTCATTTTATGGCCCCTTCTCTGAATCTTTACTTCTATTGGCACTTCTATGCACACTAAATATCATTTTAACACCTTGGCCCTGTTTCTTAAAAGAATTGTTATCAATATAGTTACAATGACTGTTAAAATTTAATTAAAAAATGGTGTTTAATCGACTGTGAGCAAATCTGTCATAGCAATAAACAGATGGAGAATGGGAGAGAGAGAGAGAGAGAGACACACACACACACACACACGAACACACGCACACACTCACACTCCACCCTCTCTCTCTCTCTCTCTGACTCTCTGACTCTCTTTAGGCTTGCAATAACATCCATGCTATCTTGACTTGACGTTCATTTTCCTTTCTCTCTCTCTCTCTCTCTCTCTCTTTCTCTCTTTCTCTATCTCTCTCTCTCTTCCTCTCTCTCTGTCTAGCTGTCTCTCTATCTACCTCTCTCACACATCCACATACACGCACACAAACACAATCACACTCCACCCCTCTCTCTCTCTCTCTGACTCTCTTTACGTTGGGCTTGCAATAACAACTCCGATCTCTTGACTTTCATTTTTCTCTTATTTCCCTTTCATGTATCTGTGTGTGTGCGTGTGTGTGTGTGTGTGTGTGTGTGTACGTGCGTGCGTATTTTGGACAATGGTGTGAATTCATACTTGATCTCTGATGTATTTCTCTAAAGTTTACATTTTGAGCTTTTCATTTTCTTGATGAAAGATAAAAATCAAATGTACCATACACTTTCTTCGAGACACCTGTAAATTTATGGATCTTCGGTGACTGGTCCATTAGAAACTAGTGCTAAGCCAGTCACAGAGAATTTATAATTTCAACTGAAGCTTCTTAGTGCATAGTATATATTTTTTGTATAAATTCAAATTTCATTTGGAAACTTTCAATATTTGATCAATATGGTGAATGGGCATATGGTCTATGGTTGGAATGATGGATGCGGTGAAGAAAATACACAGACAAGAAAATAAAAGAAGGGAGATGCCAGAATTATGTCATTGATGATGATTCAAAGTTTGGATAAAAAATAATCAAACAATACGTTTTGAGGTCATATTTATTACAGTTTTAGACAGTTTTATCCACCAGCAAGCTGTAAACACTATAAACGTAAATACAAAAAACTTTTGATGGACCTATATTGATGCTAAAAGTTTCAATATGGTTGTTATGATTACATGAATATTTTACATTTATTTGTTTTTGTTTTACTTTTTATTACAGCTTAAATTAAATCATAAGACTTTTTATATTTGATTATTTGATAGTCCCATATAAGGACCACCTCCTTTTCTGACTGCTACCAGGCTAAGCAATCTTCCTTGTGTTTTTAACGATATTTATTCATGTTTGTAAATTGATTTTTTTTTCTTTCTTTCTGTGTTCAACTTTGTTAATAATTGTAATTGTGTGGTACTTGGTATACTGTTTTATTTTACCCGTATATTCGTTCATTGCTTGGCAAAATAAATTGAATTGAATTGAATTGAACACTATATTTAATTGCGGTGACTTTTCGGTTACGAGCAGATGGTCAAAGCAGGCTTCGATATTCTATAAAACTAGAAGCTATCTAGACAGTACTTCAACAGAAAGACACTTCGTCACATCTACGAGAAATTATATCATCATCTCACCGAAGTCTACTCGAACACCGCATCGAAAGCAGGTAGGCCCAACATATCTTACATTATGTCTGTTGCACATGAGACGTCTTTCTGACTGCGTCAGTTTGTAATTGTATTGATAATGATATCGATTATTTAGTAGCGCTAAAACAAAAAGTACCTTTTCGCCTACAAAGTAACAGAATGAAAAGAGAGAAACTTTAAACTCATAAATAGGTAAATCATACTTTATTACTGAGGGAAGAAGAATGCTTTAAAGATACTATGTCCCTTTTGCAGCCAACATCAAATTCTGTAGAACTTTGCAGGAATTATGAATATGTCATATAAGTCCTATCTGTGGAATTTAAACGTTAGCAGTTTCCTAATATTCAAATTATGCAAGGAAACCCGTTTACTTGCTAGACTTAACTGTCAGACACTATTGAGTGACTGACTAGCTTTTTTCTTCTTTGGTAATAACATACATAAAATGAACGAAAGGGTACATGATCATTTGTCTACATCAATAACCCACTTTTTTTAATGGCCAAAAATAAACTGATTGAATCTTTGCGCAGCATAAAACATACGACCATTCGGTATAATGGTCTGAAAATCAGACTATTACTTACTTGCTCTATAGCTCTTAAGTCGGTTCGACAACTAATAGTCGTTATTTTCCCACTTAAAGACATTTTCAAGCCCCCCCTCCTCATTTTAGGGAAGTTCTAAATTAGTATTATCTTTCAAATGCCGTTGGAATTTAAACTTTTTATATTTTCTGGCCTGCAAATGGGACATAGTACCTTTAAGGGATCTTTTGAAAGTGGTATTACCCTTTTCTCTGTTAGAAGGGGGAAATTGTTCCACGTTTCGAAGCAGCCACTGCAAAATGTTTTTTGGTATAGTTGAGAGTCTGGAATTTGGGAATAATTAGTGTAAAGTCAGTTGTTGAGCGTAGGTCTGCATTTCTTATAAGACATTTCTTCGCCTCTTGTGCAGCCGCGGGCTTAGTTCACAATAATCACGAGCTTTGCTTTGCAACTCTGATGGGTGAGATGGCCCAGTGATCTCGTAATCGGGAGTTCCGGTTTCTGGATGTATAAAATATAAAACTCAAGGAGGGTGGGGTTAAGCTGTTAAATGCAGTGCAGAAATGGGCCGGGAACATCCTCTTTCAATAATAATAATAATAATAATAATAATAATAATAATAGTGGGTTCTTGTATAGCGCTCATGTCAGTCAGATTTGACCCTCCTGGCGCTCCCGATTATTACCCTGGCTTTAGCACGGCTGCCATACGGCGCTCTAGCATTTCAAGGAATAAATTCCTACCAGGTACCCAGTTACTTCACCTGGGTGGAGTGTGGCAAATGTAAATCAATGTCTTGCCAAAGGACATTAGTGCGGCGTTGGGACTCGAACCGCGGACCTTGTGATCGACAGTCCGGCGACGTATCCACTCGACCCCAGCACCTCTAGGGCATTCAAAACATCCTCAGTTGTTTGGTTTCGGAAAGCGAAGAATAGGGACTTTTAGATTTGCGTGGACTGTTAAAAGGACGTCACACGTAGCAGCCCACGTTGTCGTCGTGCAAATCTAAAAGGCCCTTAATAATTATGATTGAATGTAGACATTCTGAAGCCTTCCGCCTTGCATTTATCAGAACAAACCGCAAATCCCGTATTTTCTGGCAGCCTGTTGTCTCGAAGCCCGTTATTTTGGGCGCAATTAGTGAGGAAAATCGTCACGCAAAGTGAATGCAATTTTTTTTCACTACCGTCACTTCGTGAAAACAGCGACGAATTTATTGCTTCAGTTTCGTTATTAATAGTAAATATTGTTTGATTTGGGCTTTCTGTTCATTTTTGGTGCGTGTTAAAAGGAAAGTTTCAGTACGTCAATATTCTATGCCAACATTCTTAATTGTGTTGCAATGTGACCATAGCTTTCAAACCCAAACAAGCTTTTTCAAGGGGGGGGGGGGGGTTCTTATGCCAACTTTGAGCCAGAGGTGTTTAGTGAGACATTGCGAGGGGAAAATGACCACTTATTAACATATCCAGCCGGCGAATAAGCGGGGGGGGGGGGGGGGTAGTGAGCACTAAGTTTTGTTGTTGTTGTTGTTCAACGGGGGGGGGGGGGAGGAGATGGAGCACCACTTTTTTTTTTTAAGGGGTGGGGGGGGGGGGGGTTTCGCGCGAGGCCTGGCTTTGACCAAATGATAAAAATGTATTCCATGTTTATTCTATTTTCCTTAGACTTTGAAAATGGCGTCAAAAACCATGATTACTCTCTACTTTCTGATTGCCTTGGCCGTGGCAGCAAGTGCGTTGAATGTCGAAGAGAACAGACCCGGAAGGAGAAGCAGTAAGCACTTCATTTCTAATGTTGTCAACCAACAAAACGAATACGATTACAAAACAACCGACCTAAAGCAATTTTAAGAGTCGTATTATAAGCTTGTGCGGTCACCTATTGAAATGCGCCAACATGGCATTGATGTTTCGACATAATCCGACCACATTTGAAGAAAGTTTGCGCTGACAAAATGATACTTTCTATCCATTTTTATCCTAGTTTTCGTGAGTTTTCGTGATAAATTTAGTTACTAGCCAAGTTTTGTTGGATTCGATTTGATTTGTTGATTTATTATTGTTTCGATCATTTTTCATTTTTTATTTTTGTATTGTTTTAGTCAAGGAAGATGAGATCGACATTTCTAATGCGTTGAATGTCGAGGAAAATGACAGACAGAGCGGTAAGCAATTCATTTCTAATGTTGTCAACCAAATAAATGAATACGATTACAAACAACCGATCTATAATTCCAAAAGTCGTATATAAATGATTGTGCGGTCACCTATTATTTAAAGAGATTTAAAGAGAGTTTGCACTATTAGAAAGATACTTTCTATCACTTACTGGCCTTGCCGATGATATTGTGTGATAACTTTACATTTATAAAAGTTATTGTACTATGGCGGACTAATGAATATTAATAAGTCTGAATGAATCAGGAGAGCTTGGGTATTTGTTTCTAGTTCATCGTGACTGTGCCATGGACCAGTGATGGCCTGGTGGTAGAGTCGCTGCCCGGCAAGCAGTAGATGTAGTACCGCTGGTTCCAAGATTTTTCTGGCTTGTTATTCAATACAGATCGATCAATCGATCTTATTTACTGGGTGTAAGCCACAAATATGTTTAAATAAACAACCGAGTTTTTATTTGATACAATTTTATTGGTTTATTATTCTTTTGATCATTTTTTTGTCTCTTTTCTTTGTACTGCAGATTGTAAAAACGTCGGTGGATTAATAGCGAAAAGACTAGGTTGTGATGGTAAGTCAAGCATGAGCAATATTTTTAAATCTAAAAAAAATGCATTAGAGATAGAATGCTCCTTCTATGAATGATAAAAATCCACCTCTCCATTTTTCGATTCGACACCTTTATCACATATAGTCAGAAAAATGAGAAACAAACTTGAAAAGTCGGCAACATATATTACTTCGCTGTTATCTTTACTACCTCCGTTACCAGCCTCAAAATGATCAGCCATTTTTAACGTAATGATTAAGTTAAGAATTAACGTAGATATATAACTCGTGGATGTGCAGTACAGACATATACAATTTTATTGGTAATATTTACGGTGGTCATGAACGCCGGCATTGTTATTATAAGTGAGTGTGTTGTTTTAAAGACTTCAAAGGAGTACTCAATAATCATGACACAAGAAGGCTATTTCGATCGAACAGAGTTGCATAAAATATTTTTTTAAATAACATTATAAAGGGCATGTTTATTTCCTCCAAGTCAGGCTCGAATAACCGTCGTTGTCATTTGATTGATGATTTAACATTAAGATGATTAAACAACTAAGCACGACATGGTAACTTCCTCTGTTTCAGGATTGCCTTTTCGTATAGAGGGCACGGAGTCGTTTCTAATTACCTAAAGTTACTCATATTTGAGAGAATTGCCCAATCCGTATTTTTCCCATATGTATCTTCATAATTTTTAAAGGGTTGGGTAAAATTTTACTCATAAGAGGGGAGAAAGGAATCATGCATGTTTATCGGGTAAGAGTTTACCAACAATGGATAATGTTCAACCAAGTTTGGGTACATGTCATCCAAAAAACATGCATATTCCCATTTTGACCTCTTATGTGCAAAATTGTACCCAACTCTACACTGCGTTAAGAGCAGTGGCAGATCCAGGGGGGGGGGGGGGGGGGCGGGGTGCCCTGCCCCCCCCTTGCGCTCAAGGGGGGGGGGGGGGGGGGGGGGGGGGGGGTGGCAAATTTTAAAATTTTCGAGGACCAAAAAAAAAAATTGTGCTCACTACCCCCATCCCCCCCCCTCCCCCCCCCCCCCCCCCCCCCCCCACTGAGCGCCTTTTCGGCCGGCGCGATTTTCAAATTTTCGGGAGCAAAAAAAAAAAAAAAGTTGGGCCCCCTCCCCTAAGAAATCCTGGATCCGCGCCTGGTTAAGAGTGCACATATACACCTCTTCATTATCCCGCTAGCAGAATCACACCATATCACATAACACTACTGTTTCTGAAATACATTCGGTACATGCACATTGTCAGGATACAGCAACCAAATACCTTAGAATTCGTTGTAATATATTTAACAAATCTTTACATTTTCTCTTTTCTTTATTTCAACTGCAGGGTAAAAGTAGCATTGAGAAGTTCGAGAAGCATACTAGCTGGATCTTTTCCATGTGGTCAGACGTCTTCTCTGTTTGTTGAGACTTTTGTCAACTTGATGCGAGAAAAAAAAAACCATCGGTGATCAGTCATCACTGACGTTAACATTAGCCCAACCAATTCATAATTTTGCCTCTAAAATATATAAATACAATTTGAATCTCGTTTCAAATGTAAAGTATCAATATGCCTACATGTAGCCCAATCAAGGGCGGATCCAGGGGGGCCCGGTTCCCCCTGGAAAAAACACATGTAAAACACGTTAATTTCACCTTTTTTCGGAGATGGACCCCCCCTTGCCCTCAAGTGCAAATTTTCGAGGGCCCCCCCCCCCCCCCAAAAAAAAAAAAAAAATGTGCTCCCCCCTACCCCCCCCCCCCCCCCCCCCCCCCCCCGACCCCTAAGAAATCCTCACTGGATCCGCGCCTGAGCCTAATATAGTTTTGTGTTGACAACAGGTTAGTCAACTCACTGGGAATTTGATTGTTTATACTGCATTGACGAGTACAATCTTGTACATGTGCTTCATGTGTAGATAAAACGTGCGAAGGAAACCATTGAGGGGTATACATTCATAAGTTGTATTGTCAAATTTTTAATCAGCTGCTTTATTCTCTGACACATTGTGCACAAAACTTTCTCATTAAATGGAATGACATAATAATAATCCTCCTCGGGTTAATTTACTTTTGTTCATGTTAATTGTGAGAGGGGTAGAAGAGAGAGAGAAAGAGAGAAAAAAAAAAAGAGAGAAAGAGAGAGGAGAAGAGATAGACAGGGAGCAGGCATATCAGAGAGGTAGAGAGATTGTAGAAAGCGTGTATCGAAGAGGATACAAGAGAGAGAGAGAGAGAGAGAGAGAGAGAGAGAGAGAGAGAGAGAGGAGGGAGGAATAGCCATGGAACAGGCATATAAATAGAGAGAGAGAGAGGGAGAGAGAGAGAGAGATTGGAGCAAGTCTGTGTAGAGGATACGAGAGAAAGAGAGAAAAAAACATATGGGCAGGGAGATCATAATGTTCTATTAAATACAAACATCTTCAGAAACTATATTAATACCCGTACATTGGTCTATCTCATTACGTTCTGATGATGATGATGATAATGGTTTCTTTGATCTGTTCAATGACATAATCATCTAAAGTTATGAAACATAAAACTGTTGATAGTGTGTATTAAGCAGACATGACAACAACATTGCGTGTGCGTGTGTGTGTGTGTGTGTGTGTCTTTCCCATTCTCATAATCTGAATGACTTAAAGCCCATCTGTACTAGTTTGGCCAGGGGGATTAGAGCGCCCTGCAAGTCACTGGACAGGTGGTTATCTCATCAACTCAGCTCTCAATTAACATAAGAAAAAGAGGATCATGGGGGACCAATGGTCACCGATTAGGCATTGTTTGTTATATAGAGGGCGCAAGTAGCTACAAGTAGTGCAGTGGGCCTTTAAAGGGAGAGAGAGAGAGAGAGATAACAGCCCCCCCCCCACCACCACCTCCATACACCATCACCAGCAAACAAACGAAAGTGAAATAAGAAGAACTAGAAGATGAAAAGGGAAAGACAGCAACGGCATGTTTAATAATAAGGGTAATTATCGTGGCAGAAATAGTACTTTCATGTAACATTTTGTTTATATTTTAGTTTCACAACGTGATTTAAATGTTCCAATGCTTCTTAGATTCCATATAATTTGAAGGTGGAAAATAATTGTATAATCATGGGCTGTATCTCTTGCGGTCTTCGATAAGGCCTCGGGTAGATCATGTGTACATTTTTTCTTATCATCCTTTAAAATGATTTACATAATTTACATGTATATGGCGCCATAATTCATTTTTTTAAAAACTTAAAAACAAAGGCTCCTTCGTCATATCTAATTAAGTCAAAGAAGTATTTTAAGTAAAAAAAGTATTTCGTCGTTCAGCAGAAAAGGGTGTGAGACATTTTTTAGAATATAAAAAACGTGAATAACAGCATCATAAAATACCTTACGAATGTGCTGAAATAGCAGACGCTCACTGAAAAATATAGATAGATAGATAGAGAGAGAGAGAGAGAGAGAGAGAGAGAGAGATAGAGAGAGAGAGAGAGAGATAGAGAGATAGATAGAGAGAGAGAGAGAGAGCGAGAGATAGAGAGAGAGAGAGAGAGAGAGAGAGAGAGCTTTGAAAGGCCAATCACATGGTTCACGGCACATATTGTAAGAATGACTAATGATTACAAAACAGGCAATACAAATGAACAATTAAACAAATAGCAACCCGAAATGAAAGCAAAACAAAATTACATTTCATCAAGGATGTATCCATATGTTCTACATTCAAATCCTGGAAGTCCTTTATCTGAAATGTTTCCAACGAAATGTGTAGGGAAAGAGTTCCGTTGACGGACAGTAGTTGGAATGAAACGTCTGTCTAGGATACCTGTTTAGATAACAGGCAAGGACATGGCGTGGGAAGGCATAGGCAGAGCTGATGACCTTCTTGGTGGCGTCAGCATAGACTAAATCTACTGGACAGATATTTGTGTGAATTATGGACAGGATCTGTAGCAGTACCTGCTTGCTGTGTATGATTTATGCGTGAGTTTAAGTGCTTTAGAATATCAATTTCATTAACGGCTCGTTAGCTACGGACAATTTGTTGATAAAATCAGAAACCAAACAATCATTAACAAATGCTGTATTTCAATAATAAACTTTATCAAATTGTAAACATAACATATGATATCGTAAGAAATTAATCCACATCATTATCACATGATTGTATCAATTTAGCAAAGCCGTAATAATGATGATATTGATGCTAAGGTCATCTTACAGGTCGGTATGAAATTAGAAAAGGAATATGAGAGAAAATTCATAATGGGGAATATATCGATTTTGACCTCAACATATTATCTTTAAGATCAAACTTTCATCAAGAAAAAAACATGAAAATGTAGCCTTATTCTAAATTTCCGCGACAGAGGCAGAAATACTAAAGACTTTGATCGTAATTATACAAGCAATACAACTGTTCATATGTTATAGACTATTTTCATTATAATCATGATAATGCAAGGTGATAATGATACAATAAAGGTAAAAAATTGAGCACCAATGTATGTTTGATCATAGTTGATACTGATAGATATGGGGAACACAGTTCTATTTTTTAGGTGCAACAGTGGATAGAATGATAAAATAAATACCTTTCCAGATAATCATTTCGGTCCATATTTCCAAATCAATTCAATTTCCAATCAATCGGGCTCGCGCAAAAGAAAGACATTTGAGAATGCATTTTAGAGTGATTTTTTTATATGCACGGTCCATTTTCATTGTTATTCCATCCATTTATTTATCTAATTATTGGTCATTGATAATGAAGCTAAAATTGTTGTATGTTGGAGGCTTGGCGAATAAAATCAATCAATCATGTCCAAGTCAGTCATAAGATATAAGAAAACTTTTGCCCAATAATTATTTATCCATGTGTTTATTCATATATTTGTTTATTCATTTATCTATTTCATATCATTTACTTACTTACTTACTCAATTAATTAGTCATTGGTTGCAGTTAAAGAGAAGGTTGAGTTCTGGGAAGAGGTGAAAAATAATTTGTGAGCATTACTCATTCTTATTATGCAAGTGTGGAAGAACATCAGTTACGACATGTTCCCTGAATAGCATAGCTCTTCAAATGCCTTCATATTCTAAATATGCATGTAACATCAGAAAAATCGGAGGGGGTGGCTTTTTATGCCACGTGTTCGTGTAGTCCCATATACATCTTTCTGCGCAAGTGTTTGTAACTTTACCAAGACTTGTCCAAATTTCTTATCATTTTGATAATTCCAGAACCTTGCAATACACACAAATTCTTATATGCTAGATGATCAACCTTTTCTGGTCGGTTCCACACCGTTTCTTTCACAATGCAATCGCATGACCAGAACTCAACTTCATCTTTAATACATCTTTAAACATGAAATTTAAAATGTCCATGAAAATGCAACAACAACAACAATCGCGCCATGTCAATCATAGGATACAAAGAACATCTAATAAAATAATTACCATAATCGTTTTTCAACATAAATGTATTTTAACACCATTTAGGTCAGATTTGGCCCAAAATGTCAATTTAATACAGCTGAACGAATATTGATAACCCTGCAAAATATAGACACATACATGGCGAACATTGCTCTGCTACCTACAATCAACATAATCGCAAAGATTTTCAAGAAATCATCTATATGGCATTTTGCAGTAGGCCTACCCTATTTTATTGCCTGGAATAAATCATATTTGCGTATGTCATTGTAAATAAAGCTCGCAAGTTTGAAAGCATGGCGCACAATTAAGGCTGTAGTGGTATAATTGCCCGATGTTGGTGTCTTGAGAGTCTTTGTAATTGCGTTCGTTGCGTTTCTTATGAGTGACACATTGATTGGATTAAGCTAGCCCGGTGACACGTTATTCCATTCAGCGGTGTATCATTAGTTTCTAGAGGCACATGTACCAGAGAGAGAGAGAGAGAGAGAGAGAGACATAGACAGAGAGAGAGAGAGAGAGCGAGAGAGAGAGAGAGAGAGAGAGAGAGAGAGAGAGAGAGGGGTGGTGTTATTATGTGTATGAGATGCGAATTAATAAAGTCACACATAATTATATAGGGGAGGGTGGTGGATGGGTCCTATTATCTTCTTTTCATGTTGCCTTTGTTTACCGTATTCTGTTCTCCTCTTTTCATTGTTCCTTTTTGCTTGCCCGGTGGAGGGGGGGGGGTACATAATTATGCCCTGTGTCCCTTCGAAGCCACTACACTGCCTTTAATCAACACAAACATGATGGCATATCATCAAAGACTCGGGGCCCTTTATTTGTTTTAAAAAAAATGGTTACAATCTATTTACATACGATGAATTGATTACATATTATTTATAAAAATTAAAAGAAAATGATATGTTTGAACTTGAAGTTTCGGCCTATACCTTCATAACTTGAGCACCATTACCAATTATATCGTGGTCCATGAATTACAATCGAGATTGGGCTCATGAATATTGTTAACCAAACACCTATACAGCATTAACCACTGCTCCGTTTTCCAAGAATGTCTCTCTGTATGCAGGTGCGATTAAGTTTCAGGAAGTTCCAATTTGATACAAAAATATATAAATACTTTATATCATTCGCTTTTCTTCTTCAGTGTCCATTTCAATGGTGATAATCGTTCGATGAATTTGACGAATAAGATTACAAGATTCTGACGCCTTCTGTAGCTTGTTTATGTTTCCTCCAATCACTGCTCAACTGTTGAGATGAGGAGAATACAGGAATAATCTGGCAAGTCTCAGGCACAAGAAGGCTAGAGGAAGAGGAGACCTCTGCTAGAGGACTAGAGCGCTCCTACTTCTTGACGAGACACATTGCGCCCATGCGTAAATCTTACCGTGTCGGATACCTTGGCCACTCTGCAGAGCGACCTCAACGTCTGGAATCGTTCCGGCCGCTTCACGGGTATATTTGATACAACCAAGGATTACGTCGCTACGAGGAAATCCCGGTCTTCGTCAGGTACTCCTCTCATAGCAGACACCTCATGCACGAGGTCTACCCTTACACTGTCAGCCGTGTTCGCGGTCCTCGTCGTCTTATGTCGATCACCACCGACATCGTGCTCGTTGTGTTCACTCAGAGCCGTGAAGTTTACTCTTTTCCCGTTTTTATAGGTTTCGGGTTTTCCAGGTGACTTGTTTCTGCCGACATTGTCTTCGCTTCTTTGAGGAAAAGGTGATCTTGAAGCCGGCTTCCTATTCGCATGGAGAAGCTCACTCTTGGTCTGAGGATCACCAACTGGAATGTTTTTGGAAAATTGAGAGACCATTACATTTTGAAGTTACAACACACTCAACAATGTTAGATGTCGTCTAAATTAAAAATTGTGTTACACGTATTATGAATGAAGCTGAATACAAAAATACATTTCAAATTCTGCGTGGGAAATATCATAGATTGAAAAATGTAACCGGGTACTATAGCAAAGTCAAAACATTTTGTCTCATACAAAACAGTACTGACGTGTTTTTTTTCATCCTTCGTTCTCATATGTTCATCTATTTCGATCCGTCCTTATCTACCGGCTATTTTTTCACCTGATAATTGCTTTACGGCAGAAAGCAGTAATTTGGTTGCACGAAAGAAATATCTCCCCATACTACCAATAATCTACACAAATTAGATTAAAACAAGCATTTACCCATTTTTCAACAACAACAAAATTCCATCTTAAAATGCTTATAAAACATATACCTAGTTCTTTTCATTACGTTAAAAACCTTGGCTAACATTCTCTCAAGTTTCTGTTCAAGTGCCTAATCTGCAGAGTAATGTACATAATAGTTTACGTGTGTATCATCGCAGATTGTAACGAGAAAAACTATTGTTCATACCCCCAAGTATTTTCTTGAGTACAGGTCATTAGTCAAAGAATTTTCTTTTCTTTTCAAGCATTTGCTGTGTTTTTCCCTATTTTTTTTCCTTCTCTCTTTCTTCTTTTCTCAGGTTTTCGGAATTTTTCCCCAGTTGTTTAATTAAAGTAATGGACCTTCTCTTCAAAAATGTTTTAGGCAGATTTTAACCCCCAAAATACAGTTTTTGAAAATGAAAAATGATAAACAAAATGAATCACCTGCCGATGAGACTTCTTTCCCGTCTGGTTCGCCTCTGTACTCCCTCCCCGAGATGACGGAGGTACATGTATCAAACTCGCTTGGCTCACGGTACATGTCACGAATCAATGCGGTCTGAGTGTGGCTCGATCCACACCCCATGCTAGCTGGGAAGTGATGTCGGTGGTATGCGTAGATGATCTCGTGAACGACAATGAAGCTGTGCCTGTTAAGTTCTGCTGTGGTATGTTTAGATGACCTCGTGAACGGCAATGACGCTGTGTCCGTGAAGTTCTGTTGTGGTATGCTATAGATGACCTCGTGAACGGCAATGACGCTGTGTCCGTGAAGTTCTGTTGTGGTATGTTTAGATGACCTCGTGAACGACAATGACGCTGTGCCCGTGAAGTTCTGTTGTGGTATGCTATAGATGACCTCGTGAACGACAATGACGCTGTGCCCGTGAAGTTCTGTTGTGGTATGCTATAGATGATCTCGTGAACGACAATGACGCGTGCCCGTGAAGTTCTATTGTGGTATGCTATAGATGACCTCGTGAACGAAAATGACGCTGTGCCCGTGAAGTTCTGTTGTGCTATGCGTAGATGATATTGATATCGTGAGCGATGTCGCTAAGGACTATGTTCCCGACGATGAAATATTTTAGTTTACTTCGAAGATAGTTAGATTGACGTCGATGTAAACGGTGACGCTAACGACGATGCTTAAGACGATGAGTGTGTTGTGATAATGATCGTAATCTTTGATTTACAGACAAAGAGTTCGACTATTTGAAAAACGCATCTGCTTGGAAACGCCTTTCCATAAAACCATAAAGAGTGCATTCAGACTTACAGTTATCATAAACCATACGTTCTGTTAAGAGTAGTTTTTGCGATTATAATCGTAGCTTCTATTGGAGCAGTCGAGTAGTATTCGTTGAAATTAGAAGTCTCTGAGAAATTGATTCTACAGTGAATCAACTGATTCTAGTCGACACTCACCGCTTGCATAAGGTAATTACTCTGAGATGTGATATGCTTCCAGTCAATTATCTCACCTTCTAATCATAACTAGACAGATTGTTTTCCATCGAGCCAGTTATATCGTCAATCTTAGGTAAAAATCTCCAATTACAGACCCCAAGGTAAGTGGGCGGATGAATTTCAAAATGATGTGATGTCACCCTTATGCAATGTCGAGTTCTGTGTGCCTTGCTGAATCCAAGTTTACCCATACATATGAACCGCTTTAGCCGGTAGCTTCTTTCGACCCAGTTAGTTGACCTGTAAATAGAAGGAGGAAAAAAATCGAAAAGCATGAATTCCAGTTGACAATATTAGAAAGTCGTGCAATTTCCGCGATGAATATCAGTCACGATTAACAATGGATTGCGAAATGGGTCACATACACTTTAAGAATTACTAAACATAATAATCATCAATAATGCGATTGCTTTTCACGCCCTTTTTATCATCAAGAGAGCTTAAGATACCTAGGATAATATCGCGGGAGTAATTTTAGTAGATTATGAGGACTCCTACGTATTTTCTAGCTAGGTTACACGTGCAGAAATGGCCACGTGTCATCAGTTGTTCTCATTTCGAATGCACTCCATTATATATTCAATTTCTCTTGCATTAATTTCCTCAGAGATTGTGAAGTGATTGCAGTACACATGGCCATTGGCGTAGCGTCGATCCGCCCTGCGTCGGGGGCTGGGGGGGGGGGGGTCTTTTGACGTGGAGAGAGAGATCAAGGCCATCGACACAATAGCAGTATATAGGCGTCAGCTTTGAAATGATTGAACACTACAATGACATAATATGTTATGCGAACATGATTTCTACTGGACATACAATAGGGAATTGAAATTGCCATTGAGTTGATTTATGAGAAAACATGCGTTGCAATCGTGTGCAGACTTTCTCTTTGTTTCTCATCTTTGTACATGTATTTGTTCACCCTTTCGATGGGGGCACATTTCAGTTAGGTTGTTACCTCTGCCATTATTTTTCCCAAATTCAGAATCGTGTCAAGTCTATTTCCCCGAGTTCCCGCAATCACAATCTTTTGATCTTAATCATTCCCGTATAGAAATAGTAATCATTCAATTTTTTCCCCTTTAATAGCAAGTAGTTTCTCCATTTACAGTGAATCCAAACGTGTCATCTATACATCTTTCACCATTCACGGGTGACTTTTGTGGATTTGTACTTGACACGTTTCCATCATGTCCATCACAACTAGGTTCCCATGACAACGTCATTTACAGATAGGAATGGCGCCATTTACCCGTCTACTGATATTACTCTCACTAATAAAAGCAACCGTTATGATCATGAAGGAGGTAAAAACAAAATCGAATTCCCTCCAACATGTCCAAGGCTATGTGCTTCATACCACTGGAATGATTGATCCACTTGTTCGTCGCTGAGATTTTTCTCTTCTTCACACAGTTATTATAACGAGGACGATGAGTTCGTGCTAAAAATCAAGCTAAGTATGCTCGTCTATAAACAACCATGACATCGGGCATAATGAAACAGCCGTGAGGATTTGATTGGCTAAGAGCAGGTCACGTGTTGTTTTTGTTGCTATTGTTGCTGCTGCTGTGTACATGGTGTATGTATGCATTGTGCGTGTGTATGTGTGTGTATTCACCTTGTGATATCCCTCTGACTTCTGAATTTTCTCATTCCTATCGAGATATAGGCTCAATACAGAGACAACTAGGTCAAGTAAACAATGGGTTAATTAGCGAGCAGAATAGTTTTTACCATTCACTAAATAGTAGCAAGAAGATTGCAAGCATTGTGTTAAATGATATGTAATGAGCCGGAACAGGCAATTTTTCAAAAATAAGTTTTTTAATTTATTTTCTATTTTAAAACAATGTGAACAGAAGGGCAAAATACAGCAATGTAGTAAATACAAAAAAAGGAAGTTCTTTTCTTTTTTCTAATTCACTATAAATTTAAAACACGTTAATCAATTATCATACTTTTAGTAACTCCTATAATGTTGGTATTGTATGGTTTATTGTAAACAGGTGATCAGCTAACTGAATTGAAAACTTTGTTTCCAATAAATTATAGACAGTTTTATTTCACTATTAAATTGTAAGATTAGAATACAGTGTAACTTTCACTTATTGGAATTGGTTAAAGGTAGGGGTGACCGCCGCAGCTTTATATGGAAGTTATGGAACATAAAGATGGGCGCCTACCTATCGCTCACACGTCACTACTTGTCAACGCGTTATCTAATTACATTGATGCAATAGATTGGTCTGCTCGCGCCGTTAATTTACAAAATGTTATCACTTAAGGTTTGTATTCGTGTTATAAAAGAAGTCATTTTTGTTCGCAGATCTCCATGATTTCGATGTGTTTTCTCCAGTGACCCTACGTTTGCTTTGGGGACATTTGCTCCGAGCTACATTTTCTCATTATTTAAATTTCTACAATACGATCGCAAAAATGTATTGAAAGGCAATTGCAAAAAGAACCTATTGATTGCATGTTCGGATCACGTTACAAATAATTGCAGTGTTCGCAAAGTATAAGAGGTGAACTAGGCTGTGCAAATTGGTTCTGGTTGATTCTTCGAAAGTCTTTGCTATCAGGTTAGATAAATATTTTGACGGTCATCAAGAGTTGGGGATCAGGTTTAAGCTTAGTACAGGGTTAGGAACATAAAGTATAACGTGTTTGTGTTTCAGGGTTGATGGAATACTGTATCAGATATTGACCGTTAGAAATACCCACGGAATGAAACATGTTTTAAGAATCATCTTCTCCTGAAGATTTTATGTAGATATGCATACATATATATAGAGAGAGAGAGAGAGAGGGATAGAGAGAAAAAAGAGAGAGAGAGGGGGAGAGAGAGGGGGAGGAAAGGGGAGGAAGGGGAGGAATATGAAAGGGTAGGCTAGACTCAAGTTTTTCTCGAAATCTAGCATTTGTTATTAATAATCGTAATTAATATAAAGGTTTGTTAATAAATTTGTACAGTAAAGCTTTGCTAAAGAATATATTGAAGATTTATTCAGTCAACACGCCATGATTATATTGTTTATATTCATACTTAAAATTTAGAATAACCATGGACGATCAACGGCAGTATTACCGCCTCTGAGTAAAGATATAAGGGCCATTTCACTAAAAGAAAAAAAATCCAAAACAAGTTCTTCATTACAGTATGATATCATATTTCATATTTCGGATGTAAAAGACACTTATTTCCATCCTATTATCAAATGAATACAAAAGTGAGATGTACATGTGCGTTCATGGAGGAAGGAGAGGAAATTCCCAGAAATCACTCTTTCTGATGGTGTAGCCATATTAGTACAAACATACAACGCGACGACTTTTGAAAAGCAAACTCTAAGGCAACATCAATACCATCCATGGTGTATTGCATATATTAAAGAATTGTGTAACGTAACTTGTGTACGTGATCAGATTACGAATTACACCGTTGTCATGTTCGCAAATTGAAGCAGGTGACTCAGAAGGGCATTGAAATTGCCTAAGTTGATTTTTCAAAAATTCTTTGCGATACCAGAAGATAACCAGAAGGTGATTACAAAAAAGAAGAGAGGGAGAGATTGAGAAGACGAAAAAAGAAGAAAAATAAAAATGTTTTTAAAAAGATTAAACAAACAAACCGAAAAACACCTGCCATCAGTAATACTTTCATATCTTACCTAGATAAGGGTAATTTGCCAGAATGGATAAAGATTTTCACCTAATACGCGCTTTCTTCTTTCTTTTCCTCACCCCTTCCCTCCTCTCTCTCTCTCTCTCTCTCTCTCTCTCTCTCTTTCTCTCTCTCTCTCTCTCTCTCGCTCTCTCTCTCTCCCTCTCTCCCTCTCCCCTCCTCTCCCTCTCCCGCACTCTTAGTCCTCTCTCTCTCTCTCTCTCTCTCATTCAATCTCTCATTTCCACCTGCATTCATTCCTTTTGCGGCCTTCGCTTACATCACACTATACTCTTTTGAACCTTCACCTGCACGTAAAATCGTACTACAAATTCAATTGTCTTGCTGTTCATAATCTTACAAGATACAAGGGACTTTTCCTCGTTATTTGTTACTACGGCTATGTCAAATTTAGAAACGCAATTCGCAATCATTTGAAAACACATTACAAGGAATAAACTCTAAGGCAATTTCAGTACCCTGTTATATATCCTGTATAAATCATGTCCAGATTTCATAATATGTTATTGCAATGTCCACCAATCTAGAAAGGGTATGGACCAGACAATCGCAATTATAGCCTTAGGTACATGTAAGTCTTTGCAATTCTAGTTAGATGAAAGTGAACAATACATAGGACTTTTTCTTAAGGAACATTCTGAACGGGCATATGAACGGAAACAAATTTCGTGGTCATTTTATCGCAAAGAGACATTAATTAAAAGGTTAAATGGACTTTAGCCAGAAAGCATGAATCAATCTATTTAAAGGCCCACTGCACTACTTGTAGCTACTTGCGCCCTCTATATAACAACCAAAGCCTAATCGGTGACCATTGGTCCCCCATGATCCTCTTTTTCTTATGTTAACTGTGAGCGGAGTTGATGAGATAACCACCTGTCCAGTGACCTTGCAGAGCGCTCTAATCCCTCCTGTAAACTATGGCAGATAAGCTTTAAACGTTAATTATTAAATATAACACTCTTTTTAAAGTAGTACTTGATCGCTGCCCCAGATCACACCTTCATTAATAATCTGATCAAATTAATGATTAGCAGGCTGGAAAGTAAAGAGCACAACATTAATGTTTTCATCCCATGATGTATCGCACAGTATTTATTGCCGAAAGAGAGAATAAACAAAAGAAGAAAAATTTGGTACGTATATTTTCTTCGCAAAGGAAATCTATGACAAAATTAAGTTGAATATATTACTTTAAATTTTTAAAAACAGGATGCAACCGGAATTTAAAATGAGATTCAAACCAATCTGCAATATCTTCTAACTAATGCTTAGGGGGAGTAATTAAAGAGAATGCCGGATTAAGGAAGTATTAAATCAATTATTGACAGAGATTGGACTTTGCACTGATGAAAACCCACTCAAAATGATCTAAGGGAGGTTGGGAAGAGTATATTTTCAAAATGACGAAATCGCAAGACAGGTATTTTGTGGAATGGGAGATCACATGTTATAGGAACCTAATTAAAGTATAGATCGTTTTTTTTAATTGTTTAAAGAATATTCTTGACACACTAGACTGTATGTTACTTGTTTCCACTGATTTCAA